TAAGACTTGGTTTCTTCATTTGTGAAACAGGAATACAAACCTCTTGATATTTGGGACAGTGCTTGAAGCACACTAAATACGTGGTAAACGTTAGCTGTCATCACTGTCAAATATGTTGAGTGGTGCCTATCTCTGGATGGATAAGGAGAAAGGAAAGAACAGGAGACATGGTTCCAGCCTGTAGAACGGCTTAGCAAAGGTCACAAGTTCAGTTATGCGGTCTACATGTCATTAAGAACTACAGGTAAAACAGCAGTTCAGGAAAGGGACGCTGGTGTGGGCGAACAATCCTGGGAAAGCGTCATGGCGGCAGAACTTTTCCCAGACACCTCCTCTCTATCTTCTGTTCCCTTTCAAATGACATCTTAACATACAGCATCACCTCTCTCGCAATGACTGGTACAAAATTAGGGCCCAACAGACAGATATAAACTTGTTATAATTCATGGAGCTACCTAGACTAGGAAATAATCTTTCTTAATCAGGCAACGTAAATGGGTTCAGGGACCTCCTGACCTGGAAGCTTGCCTCTACCCCACATCTGTAAGTCCATCTATAAGTGGCTCAAGTCCTTTAACATTTGTCCTAATCTCTCCATTCCTACTGCCATTCCCTCAGTCAGGTCTGTCACCTCCTACCAATATGCTCTAAGTTCATAAGAATAGGGATCCTATCTGCCCCATTCACCACTCTATCTCCAGTGGGTAGCTGGTTCACAATTGGTGCTCAATACATACCCACCTGAGTCAACCTGGATTACTGCAATAATTTTCCCACCTGGTTTCCCTATCGCCAGGCTGCACCCTGCCAACACTACTCAATACTGTGGTCACTGAATCTAACAGGAATGATGATACTACCCTCCCAAATTTTCAAATGACTCCTCACTTCCTTTACAACATCTAAACTCCTTCTCAGACTCTGTAAGACCTTTCACTACCAGGCATCCTTTTGTTGTTGTTGTTAATCCTCACTGGAAGATATTTTTTCCATTGATTTTAGAGAGAGCAGAAGAGAAGGAGGAGGGAGAGGAAAATATCCATGTGAGAAAGCCACATGAATTGATACCTTCCAAATGCACCACAACTGGGTCGGGAATGTACAACCCAGGTCTGTGCTCTTGACCAGAATAGAACCCACGACGTCTGGGTTTGCGGGCCAATGCTCTAACCCAGCCGTGGGCAAACTACGGCCCGTGGGCCGGATCCAGCCCGTTTGAAATGAATAAAACTAAAAAAAAAAAAAAAAAAAAAAAAAGACCGTACCCTTTTATGTAATGATGTTTACTTTGAATTTATATTAGTTCACACAAACACTCCATCCATGCTTTTGTTCCGGCCCTCCGGTCCAGTTTACGAACCCATTGTGGCCCTCGAGTCAAAAAGTTTGCCCACCCCTGCTCTAACCACTGATCCATGCTGGCCAGAGCTATCGGGTATTTTTTTTTTTTGCTAATCCACACTCCAGGATATTTTTCCATTGTTTTTTAGAGACAGTGGAAGGAAGGGGGAAAGACAGAGAGAGTGAAACATCAACGTGAGAGAGACACATTGATTGGTTGCCTTCTGCATACACCCTGATCGAGCCCTTTGATTGGAATTGAACCAGGGACCCTTTAATCTGCAGGTCAACGCTCTATCCACTGAGCAAACTGGCTAGGGCTCAGGTATCTTTTTCTGTCTGACCTCAGTAAGCTCTTCCATCATCCATGAACAGGTATGCCTTCCCCATACATCCCTAACTGTGCATATGCTGTTCCCTCTGCCTATGGGGCAAATCCCTCAGTAGTGTGCAGTTAAGTGTTGATGCAAGTTTGGGATCCGATTCTGAATAACTCAAAAGGCAGAACAGGTTTACTTTTCTTCTCCAGGACAGCTTCTAGTGCTAAACTCGTCTGTTGGCCTTTACCCTCTACTTCTTTCACATTCTATAATTTCTGCAGTGGATTCTCCACATACTCACCACTCCTTAACATTCCTCTTGCTCATTCTTGCCTCCTGAAAGATCCCTATCGATTCATCCAATGAATAAGTAGCTGCTCCTACATACCGTTAGACAGTCGTTAACACAGGAAGGAAGGGCCAGGTACAGAAAGCCCCAGCTGCCTAGCAAGGGCAAAACTGGGAGAACGAGAACCTCGCCTCCAGGATAAGCTGTCCTCCTGTCGTATCACAGTTTGGATGCCTGACCATTTTTTCCTAAAGATAACATCTAGGCCTCAGCTGTACTGCAGCTCCAGGCCCCCAAAAGCAGGAAAACCAGACAAGTGACCCCCATGGCTGCCTAAGGACCACTGACTAATGACCCTGCTCTGGCACGGTCCAATCAGTGGAGACCAGAACCCTGAAAGGCTGAAACGGGTTTGGCTCAGTGGATAGAGCGTTGGCTTGCAGACTGAAGGGTCCCAGGTTCGATTCTGGTCAAGGGCATGTACCTGGGTTGCGGGCACATCCCCAGTAGGAGATGTGCAGGAGGCAGCTGATCGATGTTTCTCTCTCATCGATGTTTCTAACTCTCTATCTCTCTCCCTCCTCTCTGTAAAAAATCAATAATATATATTTAAAAAAAAAAAAAAGAACCCTGAAAGGACACACCTGAAAAGCTGATGAATATTCTATTAAGACCCTCCTCTAAGACCTCCCCCAAGATTCCCAACTGCAAGAGATACACAGTCACTAAGGAAGAAGGACCCAGCGCCCCCTCTTCCCCAGGGGAACACGCCAGAGCCATTCCCTTCCCCCTTCTTTTTTCCAAGGGACCCCACCAGACTTGCAACCAGGGGAGCAAGGTCAGTGGCAAATCATCCGGGGCTAACCCCCTGACCCTGTCTCCAAGGCCTCCTTTTCTCCGACTTCTCAGTGGGCCAAGCAGCCCAGCCCAGGCGTTCCTGTTGCTTCTTCTAGGCCAGTGGTTCTCAACCTTCCTAATGCCGCGACCCTTTAATACAGTTCCTCACGTTGTGGGGACCCCCAATTTCATGGTTACAAATTGAACATGATGAAAGCATAGTGATTAATCACAAAAACGGTATGTAGTTATATATGTTTTCCGATGGTCTTAGGTGAGCCCTGTGAAAGGGCCGTTTGACCCCCAAAGGGGTCGCGACCCACAGGTTGAGAACCGCTGTTCTAGGCCCTTCCTGGTTTCACTGTCCTCAGTGTGGCTCTGCTGCCATCCGAGACCCAACATCCTCGGCTTAGTGCTGTGTCGCACTTCCCTTTGGACATCCCCGTTCCCCAACCCGTTTTCCTACATAAATTGCATTTTCTTTACTCACCGCCCGAGGCGGCTGTTTAGCCCAAGCGTCACGGACGGGAACCTCTCCCACGCCAGACCCTGGTCTTGCTGCTTTAAGGGACATTCACATTCCACGGCCTCTCTTCCAACCTGCACTTACCGGCTGTTGGTGCCGGAATCAAAGCCTTCCCGGAACTCCTCCTCGCTCACTTCACAGCCCAGGACGTGGACCCTCTCTCCCCTGAGGACCAGAGGAGGCGGATGTCAGAGAGGCCCGGGCGGCTTCCGGGGGCGGGGGGCCGCGGGTACTCACCTCAGCGCGGCCCGCCGGACGAGCGCCTTCAGGAGGCTGCGCCCCTCCCACTCCACCGAGTCTGGGGAGAGCG